GTACCAAGGCTCGCTTCATGTAAAGCTATAAAATAATTGGGCTTTTCATGGTTGACTCCACAAGTTTAGTCCATTTTGAGTGTTTATAATAATTTAGTAAAAATGCCTCGATTACCAAAGTTTTTGAAAAAAATCTGTTATATTATATAAAACAGGTTATTTTCCTTGGACTCGGTTAAAGCTATTTTTGATGGACTGTGCGGAAAAAAACTCTGGATAAAAGTGTTGTAGCTGCAGTAATTTGTTTACATCGCTCCTGGAGCTCCGTGGCTCAAACACAGGAGAAACGTCTCCCTTCATGCAAAGTTGTATTTTCCCGTTGCTAATGCGTTAGTGATGAGGATGCCCTCGCCTGTTTTCCAGCAGCAGTGATGGCGCATGTCTTCAACCATGGGAAGCTGCTCCTGCAGCGCCTGCATCAGCAGCGGGAGATGGACTTTCTGTGTGACATCACCATAATGGTGAAGGACGTGGAGTTCAGGGCTCACCGTAACATCCTCGCTGCGTTCAGTGAGTATTTCTCCTCCCATGCTGAAAAGGGGGAAGAGATCACGACTTTGGACCCCGACAAGGTCAGCCGGTACTCGCTGGAGAAGCTCCTGGAGTTCGTCTACACGGGACACATGAACCTCAGCAGGTAAGCGTGAGGGTTTAGAAGCCAGCATCAGCCAAAACACGGATAGCATTTACGCAGGGTCATCCTGTACAGTTCTACATCTGTATACCCAACAACCTGAGTGTACAACATATGAACAGAATGACAGCAAAGTAGACTTGGATGTGATGAAGCCAACGTCAGATACATACACGTTATGGAAAGTAAATGTTAGTGAGACATCTTTGCTTTGTGCCTCTACGTGATTTACTGATAAAATGTGCTTATTATTAGTTGTTGTTGTGGTTCACATTAGCTCATTAAGCTTTTGTTTTTTTTAATTACGAAAGGTAGCTAAATAGTTTTTCAGACAGTACAGGGTTAAAGTTGGCACACAAGATACAGTTAGCCTGCTAGCTGCGTGAATAAGTTCTTGGTTGTTTTGTGGCGTTAAAGGCTTCTTCATCGCTGCAAATCAAGATGGCGGCTTCGTAGTATGGTGGCTTACCTGTTCGCCAACAAGCCAAAGATCTCAGGAGGACACAAAAAACTATTTATGAAAGGTCTGCAAAATCAAACGTGTGGTGCTACACGCTGTGGAGATCTCTTTTGAAACAAGGACTGAAAGTAGCTTCTTCAAGACAGGATGTTGCTTTGTTAGCTAGGAGAGCTTTGCTAAGTGAGACGTTTGCAGTTTGGTCATTTGAGCAGAGATCTTAGTTTGGTTAATGTTGTCTGCTAATGTTGACTGTAGTTTTTTCCTGCAGTCACTCCTTTTGACCATATGTGTTAGCTAACGTTAGCTCACCTGCTTGTACAGGCAGACTGCTTGATTAAGGGCAGCACTGAGTTTGAGTTTTGCCTTGAGCCAGTTGTTTGATGATGTTGGTGATAAGTGGACTCCAGTGAGGGGCATCCGCACAGGAAGCGATCCGTTCGTCATCA